TATTCATTTTTCTCCACATCCTCACCAATACTTGTTTCTTGTGTTTTGATGTTAGTCATTCTGACAGGTGTGGGGTGATATCTCATTGTAGTTTTGATTTGCATCTACCTGATGATCAGTGATGTTGAGCATTTTCATGTGTCTCTTGGCCATCTACACATCTTTGGAGAAATGTCTGTTCATATCTTCTGCCCATTTAATAATCCAACTAAAAATATTTTAACTTTAAAATAATTGGATTATTTATTTTTTGGGTGTTGAGTTTTATAAGTTCTTTATATATTTTGGATACTAACCTTTTATTGGATATGTCATTTGCAAATATCTTCTCCCATTCAGTAGATTGTCTTTGAGTTTTGTTGACTGTTTACTTTGCTGTGCAGAGCTTTTTATTTTGATGTAATCCCTATAGTTTATTTTTACTTTTATGTCCCTTGCTTCAGGAGACATATCTAGAAAAATGCTGCTACTGCCAGTGTCAGAGAAATTATTGACTGTGCTTACTTCTAAGATTTTTATCATCTCAAGTCTCACATTTAGGTCTTTAATCCATTTTGAGTTTGTGTATGGTGTAAGAAAGTAGTCTGGTTTCATTCTTTTGCATGTAGCTGTCTAGTTTTCCCAACACCATGTGTTGAAAAGACTTTTTACTATTGTATATTCATTCCTCCTTTGTAAAAGATTAGCTGACCATTTATTTGTGGGTTTATTTCTGGGTTTTCTATTCTGTTCCATTTATCTATGTGCCTATTTTTGTGCCAATACCATAATGTTTTGATCACTAAGCTTGTAAAAACATAACTTGAAGAATTTTGGTTTTCCTTTTCAAGATTGTTTTGGCTATTTGGGGTCTTTTGTGGTTCTATAAAAATTTTAGGGTTGTTTGGTCTAGTTCTGTGGAAAATGCTGTTGGTATTTTGATTAAATCTGTAATAGATTGCTTTGTATAGTGTAGATATTTTAACAATATTTTTTCTTCCAACCCATGAGCATGGAATGTCTTTCCATTTCTTTGCATCGTCTTGAATTTCTTTCATCCGTGTTTTATAGTTTTCAGAGTGCAGGTCTTTTACCTCTTTGGTTAAGTTTATTCCTGGATATTTTATTGTTTTTGATGCAGTTGCAAATGGCATTGTTTTCTTAATTTCACTTTCTGCTGCTTCATTATTAGTGTTCAGGAATGCAACAGATTTCTGTACATTGATTTTGTATCCTGTAACTTTACTGAATTCATTTATCAGTCCCAGTAGTTTTTGGTGGAGTCTTTAGGATTTTTTCTGTATAGTATCATGTCATCTGCAAATAGCGAAACAAGGAAAACATAATTTGAATTTCAACTATTTCCTAGACCATCCTGATTAGGGTTGTTTTTAGTTCCTTAGAATGATCTGGAGATTGATACAAGAAGTCTCTGTATATCTTTTAAAATTTATTGTAATATAACATATAAATATGTGTATAAATATGTATATTATACACATGTGTGAATAGTTATATATATATTTATGTATAATTAGCTGTACACAATTCTCTTTATTAAATAAATGCTTATTAATATTAACAGATACTCTTGTTGCCTTTATAAAATTCTGAGTTTAAGACCCTATTTCTGTATCATGTCTATTATCTATCATCTATCTATATCATCTATCTAACTACCATCTATTTATCATCTATTTGTCATCTATCTATCTATCTATCTATCTATCATCTATCTATCATCTCTCTATCTATCATCATCATCATCTATCAATCATCTATCATCTATCTATCTATGTAACTTCAAGCTAAATGGGCCTTATTTGTCACAAGAGTGAATACTCTGGTATCTAGAGTAAACAAAATCAGTTGTGCAATATTTCCGAGTTCTGATATATTGAATATTTCTGACTCAGTATGCTACACCATTCACTATCCCAAGGATAAAGTCATGGTAAATAGTGTATAAAAGGAATGTGGCAAGGCATGCATACCTGAGCAATACAGGATTTTGGACGAATCTGATGTCCATCTAATATTTTCTCACAGATTTTAATATGCATCCCACTCTGTTTCTTCCACACAGCATCCACTTCACATATATTTCAGTGTATAGAGGTAGAAAAATAAGAGGTTTGGAGTCCAAAAGACGGGGATTCAATTCCTGTTCTATCAGTATGGGCTAGTGATTTATCCTCTCAAATGTCAGTCTCATCATTTTTAAATATGGAATGTCAATACAGGGTTGCTTAATGTTCAAATATAATCATTTGTGCACAGAGAAGACACATAGTAGGTACCCAATTCATGTTAGTATAATGTGGGCAATAACTGAACTAGAGCCAAGTTTCTATATATCTAACTCATTCCAAATTCAAAACAACAATGAATATAGTTAAAATAGCCTAATCAAGCATATCTTGCATGCTTTTCTTTAAATCCAAAAATGTAGAAAGATTTTCTTTTACTAGTTTTCCCAAATTCCTCATTTTATTAGTTTTCCTGAATTCCTCATCCTCTTGAATGAGAACTACTAGATCCATTAAAAAATTTGGTATTTTGCCTTTGTTCATATTAAGCTTTTAAAATGTTTTCTAACATTTGCTGATGTTTATACCTGTGAATATTTATTCCTCAGGTTTTACTGCTCCCATAAGAAAGAGCTCCTTCCTTTCTCCTCTTAATCCATTTCTAACCTGTGTTCTCAGCTAATTTAGTTTATCTAGATCTTTCTGTTCTCTGAGGCTCTGTCCTTTAGTATTCATTTGGGCATCTGTTTAAGGTTTTAATTTAGTTGTGTGGCAAATTCCTTGACACCTGTGACTTTTTTTTTTATCCCTGAAGCTCTTAGCACAGTAGAAAGCTGATAGTAAATGTTCAACATGCTTTTGCTAGTTGTACTTAATTTAAGAAAACAATCTCATTCTAAGTATGTGATCCAGTAACAGGTCATAAATACAAAAGCTTGAGTTTGGTGCTCTTGTCAGATCCTAAGATGTCACATCTGAGATGTCAATTCTTACAGCTTACACCAAAAACTAACCAATGGTGACTCATTACTCCAGAATTTCAAAAGTCTTCCTTACTATCACTTGTTCTAACTTGAAGTTCCTTCATTTCTGAATCCCGTTTCATGAAAAGAAGCACTGGAATGTATTCTTCTTGAGATAAGCATGCTATCTTTCTTAAGATACTTTCATAAAGTTAAAAGAATTAATGACGTTATAGCAGAGCCCAGCCTTAGTTAAGGGTAGAAGGAGGAACTGGATTTTATTTGGAACAGTTCCTCATTTGAATAAATGTTTACTGAAGTGAGTAAGCAGAGGCATTTCCATCTAAAATTTGGAAAAGAGACAGGAGAGGGAGTAGTTCAAAGAAGCAGGAGTCTAAATCTTTTAAATCAATTTTAAATTCTGTGCTTGTGCATTTGCATTACAGACATGATATGAGTACAGGGGTTCTAGGTACAATGTATGGTTCTTCTAGGGTCAGTTTGTTATTCATCTCTGCATCCCAACATCTAGTACAGAGTCCCAGAAACACTGTTGTACCAAAAAATTATTCCTGACTGACTCTGCACTCTTCTTCAGAGACAGTTTATTGATCAAAGTAAAATAAGGCCAAGTTAAAATGTGACAACACAGGGAGAAATATTGCTACAAATAGTGTGATAATAAGAGAAGATGTTAGGTTAGAAGATGGGTAGTATCCCTGAGCTCAGGTTCCCACTCCCCTGTACCCAGTGATTCATGGTGTGACCCACCATACAACCTCTATTATCTTTAGCTTCCTCTTCAATAAATGAGGATCTTAAATCTCTAAGCCTTTTCCCCCTAATTAAAAAAAATCTTTGATTCTCTCAGATTAAAAAAAAATTCTTCAAAATATTTTCATTTAAACTCCTTTTATTTAAGTGAATTTCAGCTGAATAATGCCCTGCTGTAAATATTTCTTTTAAATCATTATTTTCTAGGATTTTATGATGGATTCCATTTTTATAGTATCTCTAAGAAGGGTGGAAAAGATATAAACACTTATGGAACATCTCATATAAGCCAGATTTTTCGTATTTATTTCATTCTCAAGCCTTATGAAGTGGAAATTTTCTCAATTTTAAAATTAAGGAAACAGAGAAGTCAAGTGTCATGCTGAAGGCCAGGTCAGAGCTGGACAGTGCCAGGCTCTCCTCTCAGGTCTGACTGATTTAAAAATCCATGTTCTTTCTAGTACATGATGCTGGCATTTTGTAAAAAAAAAAAGGTAGGTATTCCATTTAACAGATGGAAAGACTGAGGTACATAGAACCAGGGACTTCCTCAGTTTTGTAGTAAACCAAGATTTTTGGTGCCAGGAAGAAACTCAAGTATTTTGGAGTAGAGTATAAGCTCACATCATGTGCGAGTGTAGGAAAACATCCTTTTGTATGATAACTTCATTTGATGCCAGCATGGAGTTTTCAGGGTTTAAAAATGATGAGGTGTGAGAAAACTGATCCTGTTGTATTTACATTTTTTTTAAATGAAATTCTAGTAATGCAGCTGTTTTCCAGAGACTATTTCAGAATGAACATATTTTATACCCTAGAAATTGATGAAACTTTTTTTTCCAAACCATGCAGCCTAGCCTCCCTAGCTCCCCAACCCCAGCCTTATACATACATGATATCTACAGCATGATAGGGCTTGATCTTGAACTTTATTTCTTCTTATAATTTTATTATCTGAAAATAATTTGTAATGCTACACAGTACTGTACTACCTCATGCTTCAGAAAGGAACTTTTTTTCCTCTGAACGTTCCTTGTGTTGATTTTTTCATCCTCTCTGTCTGTGTTGGCTTCTAGCCCTCTGTTCCTTTCAGTGCATTTGGTCTTGTGCCAAATGAGAGTCATCACTTAGCCCAAAAGTATCATTTTCCAAAACACAGAATCAAAAGGAAAACCCCGCCTATTACACCCACTGCTAATTACCATACCACAAAACTGACTAGTTGCATCATTGGACCATCACTTGTGAATTTCTGCTTTCCAGAGCTCTTATTCTTGCAGAGAATGAGTTTGAGCCACATGGAAGATATGCCTTTAAGCCATTCAAGTCCTCAAGGGACACACAGATCATCCTGGAAGCAATGGTTCCTCTACTCAACAATAGTTACTTTGCTGTTGCTTTGCTCCTTCAGTACACTAATTCTTACTTTTCTTCCACTCAAGGTAAGGAAACAATAGTACCTAAAATTGCTGCTTTTCTTTTGTAAGTCTAGTTATTATCATTGTCACTCAGTATTGTTAGAGCTAGTTGGAAGAGACATGTGGGTACATATAATACAAAAAGAATTTCAATTTTGTCATGGCATATGGCTTTTGAGGCTTATCTAAATGTTTTGAAATGAAAGGTATTAGAAAATGCTAAATGTTAGCAGCATAACTGGGTTAGATAGAATCAATTAAATCAGTCAATTGATAGATGCCTTGGAATATTTTCTCCCTTTCTGTAACTCTGTTAAACCCTCTTGGTGAAATAAAGGTATAAAACATATGCTTGCCTTCAAGGAATGGGATGCAAGCTATAGTCTTACTGAGGGAAAAGATATAAGAAGATAATGGAAGTCAGAATAAGGTAAGTGACAGGTGGTTAGTGCATCTTTGTGGAAGGAAATGGCACTGAACTAGGAGTAAGATCTGGATTCTGGTTCTAGGTCTCCCTAGCTGTATGAATTTAAGAAAGACATTTAATCTTCCTGGTTCTCAGAAAGATTCTTCATCTGAAAAATGGCGGTAGGAGAATGGATTTGTTCATTACAGTGCCCCTTCTAGCTATAAAATATAGTGATTAATAATTTATCTAAGGGTAGTATAGAACATAAATGCTTTAGGAATTCAAAATAGGGAACAAGGACTTTGGACTAGAGTGATCAAGGAAGGCTTCATGGAGGAAGGAGGTAGCACATTCCTATTTGGGAAGCCCCTGATGCTTATCAGGAATTTCCCATTGAGCTCCAATCCAAGTTGTGGGTCTAGTAAAGGAAATGGAAATATATGAGGTTCTTTTTAGAAGTTTTTCTGACTGTATTATATGTACCCACATGACAATGCTTTATTTAATTTAGGATTGAACCTATTTTGGGGTACATTTGAAGATTCCAAGCCTTGGAGAGAATAAAGTAGTATATGCTTATCTAAGAAAGGACTATAATATAAAAGTAGCACCTGCGGAAATATTTTTCTAAGGGGATTGGCCAGTGAAAGCTCCAAAAATATTTTCTACTACTTAAGATATTTAAAAGCCATTGAGAAAAGATGCAGGAGGAAGTACATGGTAATTGCTGGTATTAATTTAGTTAGGGGAAGTGTAGCTTTGGCCACATCTCTACACACTAAACCATTAATCTATATTCCCTAACTGTACACAAGGATATGCAACAGAGACTTTTCTAATCACACCCCAACTCTCTCCAGGAATATATCAAGCAGAAGTCTGAACTTTCTGGAGCAGTGAAGCTTTGAGCAGAAAGAAAAGAATTGTTAGGAATTCTGAGTGTTTCGATTTGTGAAGAAAGGAAAGGGTGAGAATAGCAATAGCTTAACTTTGGAAGAATTTATCCCTCTAAAGTCACCTCAAGTTTTAGCCAGATTTCCCCGAAGAATGTAAGATATGTTATAGGTGTTATCCATTCCTACATATGACTGGGGAACCAATGCATAGAAGAGGCTGGAAATGTCCTTCTCAACAGAACACAGTGGCTCTTGCAAAGGGAAAGAGGAAGTCTAATAATGCCAGAGGCACCTAGGATATCTCTTGCCAGAACTGAACTCGACCAATCCCACGTATTTGAGCTCTGATTCTCTCTCCTAGACAACATGCATCTTCTCAATGAAAGGTTCTGCCTCTAAAAAAATAGCCCAGAGTTTATTTCAAATTTGGGGAAATTTTAAAGGTTTTCAGGATATTGTCCTGATTGGATGTCATAAAGGCTTGTTTCCTATAGGAAAAGCCAATGGCCTGGCTGACGCAATGCAACATTAACTCACTTTCCACTTGCCTGCTCTTCCCTTTCCTTATTGGCCACAAATAAGTATCTTAGGAAAGGAGGGCTGTGTGGCTAGCGGATGGTGAGTCATTATGAGGTGGCCGCTTCCACCTTCTCACAATACCCATGAAACTTGGAGGGTTTTTGTTTTGTTTTGTTTTTGTTTTGTCTCCACTCTAGTTTTTATATACAAAATCCCACTTTCCAACTTCTCTAGGCACTAATTCAAAAAAGCGTTAGACAGGAAGATTGGCTCCTTCTAAACCAACAGAAATTTCCTTGGGAGAACACTTTTTTTTTTGGTGCCCCCTCCCCCCCCATCTTTCAAAAGAGGTTCAACTGAAAGGATTGGCTATGAACCCAAGGAATTCGGTCTACTCCTCAGTGAAATTAACCTCACAGAAATTATCTCTCTAAAAAAAACCAAAAAAACAAAAACAAATGTTCAGAAGAGTCCCCTGCTTCAGTGAAATGAAGGATGCCCTTCCAAAAGGGGAAGATGTGCTTGTACTTAAAAGCAGAATAGAGTCTATTTCCAAATGATGATCTGAGTAGGGTTGGTTTGGAGAAAGAATTATTGTTTTGGCCATTTGAACCCAAGCATTTAAATCTGGGCTTAAATTATAACGGGGTTACAAGAGCAATTGCTCCTTCTAAGCAAAAATGAATTAAACTAAATGGAAAGTCCCATATGCTTCTTTATAAATGGATATTTACTCCTTCCAAAGATCAGCAGAATTATAAACAGAAACTGCCCCCACAGAGTAGTAAGGGTGAGACTTTTGAATCAGACAGACTGTTTGGACCTCAGCATAGCCTTTTATCAGCTGCATGACATTGGGCTAGTTACTTAATCCCTCTCAGGAGCACTTCCTCATCTGCAAATGAGCATGCTAGTTCTTATCCCATTGACCTGGATTAATGAGACAGTCCAGTGCCTGACCCAGAGCAGGCTCTGAATAGATTGTAGTGATTAATATTTGCATCATTATTATTGACATTATAATGAGGATAAATTTAAAAAGACTTTTAACAAAACGGATATTCCTTGCTCATCTATTTCATTTCCTCAGCTAAAGACTATACCTTGCTGCCAAATAGATGATTTTTTCGATTAGACAGATTTTCATTTGTGGCAATAGAAAATGTCAGTGGTGGTTCTGTAGTTCTAAGTAGACATTAAAACAGCCCAAGTACAATATCCAGGATTTCTGTCTCTGGCAATTAATTTGTCTGTGGCGTTAGGTTTCTCCACACACTCTATGCATGATAGTAGACACCACAGATGTTATCTGTGCCACATATTTTGGCACTCATTTATATTTAGATTGTTACCCAATTGCCTCATGTGTGTAAGCATGTCTTTCTAGAAAGATTATAAACTGCCTAAGAGGCAAGGACTATAAATTGTATGTTTCTCTTGCTTACAGTGCTAGTTGGGAATATAGGTGATTAATGTTTTGTTCAGTTCATTATAATCAGCATCATTATCAAAACAGCTAATATTTAATGAGCAGAACCAGATCTGTCTGGGCAAAGCCCTTCTTAACAATTATGACATTTAAACCCATAAACACCCTCAGTGAGTTAGGTGCTATTATGTCTCCCATTTTATAAATGAGAAAATTAAAGATAAGGGAATCTATCACATGCCTATCATGGATCAAACTAAATTGAATGTCAGCATTTCTTCTAAGAAACCCCAAAAGGAGGATGAAATAATTACAAGAGCAAAAACAATTATAGGAATCCAAACTTTCTGATTGTACCTCCTTATTAACAAAATATTTTTGAGTACAATCCCACCATATATGCTAATTTATTATGTTAGATATAAGGGCTAATATTATGTATAATAAAAAGATACACAAAATGGAAACTTCGAATGATGAACTGAATGACATGCTTCATATAGTTTATTCACAGTGCAAAACTGTTTTGCTTTTACCAAAATATTATATTTTACATGTTAATATAAGCATTTCTAATATAACCAAAATAATATTTTAGTAATTTGATAAATGTGTTTCTTTTATTTTCTTAACCTTAGTCTAACACTTTGTGATACAATAACTTGAAGGTTATAAGTTAACTTACTTTGATTCATGATTTTCACTGTCATAACCTGTATTTCTCCCCTCTCCTCTACTAGACTATTTTATTCCTTTGACTTCTGTTTAAATATGCATTATCTTTTCCTCATTCTCTTTCTCACTTGAAAACCTTGCCTCTAAGTTCTATGAGAAAACAGAAGTAGGCAGGAACGAAGTTCCAAAGCTCCCTATCATATCTACCACTTACCTGCAATTTTGTTCACATAGACTGTTTCCCTCTTGTCACTGTGCATGAATTGTTCATGTACCTATCTAAGGCCACCTGTGACCCAGATTCTGTCCCCTCTTACTTACTCAAGGACACTGATTGCTCCAACAATTATCTCCTAGCTCTTACATTCTATTCCCCTTTACTGGAACATTCCCATCAAATGGCAACAGGTAACCATGTTGTCAGTTCTCTGATGTTAAAAGAAAACCAAAGACTAAGAAAAACAACAAAATCAAAACATTTCTTTGACCTCCCATCCCCCTCCAGGCTCCACTTAATTTTTCCATTTTCCCTTACAGGAAAATTCCCCCAATTTTTCTTTTCTCACTTAGCCTTGAATCCATTCTAATGAAGCTTCTGTCCTCACCACATCACAGAAACTACTTTTGCCAAAAAACCCAATGACTACCATGTTGTCGAATCCATCAGTTAATTCCCTGTCCTCTTCTCACTTGATCCATCAGCAGCATTTAATACAGCTGATCACATCTCCCTGAAATACTTTCACCTCTTCATTTCCAACATCACACTCTTTAGGTTTCCCTTCTGACTCACTGGCCTTTCTTTCTTAGTCTCCTTTGGTGTTTCTTCCTCATTCCCTGGCCTCCAAATAGTGCAGTGTTCCAAACGCTCCTCTCTATCGATACTCACTGCCTTGACAATCTCACACAATCTCATGTCTTAAAATGTCACATCATCAGAACTCCTTAAAGTCCATCCTCATACGTCCAACTGCCTGCCTGAAACTCGAGTCTACCTGGATATGTAATAAGTATCAATCATAAACTTGATATGTACAAAAGTGAACTCATGATTCTTTCCTCTCAATTTACTCCTCTTAAATCTTGCTCATTTCAGTGATTAACAATTTTATCTTTCCAATTACTGATGCCCAACATCTTGGAGTCATCTTTTGTCTTCTTATTTTCTCATCCCATATCCACATCAGGATAGCCAGAACCTTGGTCAGAGGCACCATGCTTTCTTGCCTGGATGATTATAGTGATCTTTTGGCTGGTCTCACTGTTTTTGCACTGGCTTCTCTTTGCCTTATTCCTATCATGGCAGCCAAAGAAATCCCATAAAAGAAAAATGTGCAATATCTTTAAGTTCAAACAGTCTCTTAAGCCCTTTGCCTCAAGGAAACCAATAAACTTTACATGGTACAAAAATTTTTTTGGTGGTTATACCTTATTTTAGTACTAAGTATTTTAAAGCCTTTAGCATTTAAATACCAGTATTTATAGAATTAACCACACTGATGGCTTCTTGTAGCAAGTAAACTGTGGGATGTTGCAAGTTTGAAACTAGTCTCCCCATGGTATCTCAGTTACTGTAAACTGTGATTGTCTGAATATTAAATGAGGGTGGCTTTACCAGTCTGTATTGTGAATATTTCTATAGTTTAATATTATTAAAAATAAAAATAAACTTAACTAGAAATTCTATTATTTTCTTTTCATATGCCATGGATCACCTTGTGTAGTGACTGGGGTGTGGAGACTACTGTTTATAGATAATTTCTATAGCCCAAGAGGAGAAGAGTCCAAGATCAAATAGTTGTCCTATCGGTAGAAGTCAGATGGATGGAATGAGACCTTAACTTTTGCCTAGAAGACCAAAAAAGGTGGTTAGGTAATGAAAGGGAAAGGAAAGAGCCAGGCCATCTACAAAGGAAAGCTGAAACAGGAAAGACAATTTAGAGGGAAGGATTTTTTAATATGGCTAAGGAATAGAAGTTTGCTTCAGGATCTGAAGCTCTAAATAAACCAATCAGGAAGGCTGTGACACTGTCATCCTCCTGACCAATTCCTCTTTTTCTTCCCCTACAGACTGCCAGTGAGCCCTGCATAGCTAAGTTTGGTGAGTAACCTGTCTTGCACACCTCCTTTTTACTTTTATTAGTATTTGATGCAAGAAGGAAGCCCATTTTTATTCATTTTCAACTATTATTTATAACTGCTTATCATGTGCCAAGCAGTTGTCTAGGAGCTGAGACTTCAGAGGTAAACCAGACAGACAAGTCCATCCTCAATGAAGCTTACATTCAAGGTCACATCTCTGGGCAGGAATTCACATCACTTTTACAGGGCCAGGAACCTGAAATCTGGGAATCCACCTTTAATTTTGTGTTTAAATAAGCGCAAGTTTCAAATTTCTACAACCTTTCCCTCTGACAAACTCAAAGTTCTTCTCAAGTTCCTATATTGCTGGTGCTCAGTAGAGTGTGTGTAGGGTGACATTTTTGTTTCCAAATATATAAAAAAGGAATGAAAGCCAGGGAAATGGCTACTTCCTTTGTGCCTCTCCCATCCTCTCAGCTTCTGAGCCACTTTCCCTTAGAGTGAGTGACCTGGTATTTACTAAGAAAACACATTAAAGGGGTGCTTTGGTGGCTCAGTTGGTTAAGAGACTGCTTTCGACTCCGGTCATGGTCCAGGGAACTGGGATTGAGCCCTGCATCAGGCTCCCTGCTTGGCGGGAAGCCTGCTTCTCCCTCTCCCATTCCCCCTGCTTGTGTTCCCTCTTTTGCTGTCTCTCTCTCTCTCTCTGTCAGTTAAATAAATAAAAATCTTAAAAAAAAAAAACACATTAAAGTTTACAGGTTCACCGAGACTTAAGGTATTTCTTAGAATACATACAAAATTGAAAATAAATACATTTGGATTGTTTACATATTTCAGACCACACACACACATTTTTCAGCTGAGAGCAGAACATTTCTAAAGTTAACTGCAATCCCTGTTTTCCTATACAGTTTGAAATGCTGGGCTTCCCTGGCTTGTGGGAATTAGGGAATCTCTTTTTACTATTTGTCTCTGCCTTTGTAATTTGTTTTTGTTTTTCTAGTAAATGGAGTGGAAATCATGATATGTTTGAAATTCCCTCTTGAGGTGATAAAATGTTGAGAACCTCAAGTGCTGCTAAGTGGCCTCAAGTCTCTAAGTGGCTCCTATTACAGAATAAGAGAACCGGTGACACTTTTTCCTGTGACTCGCCTATTTTCTATTACGTATCACATGTAAAGCAGGAAGAAATTTACTGGGCTTTGGGCTCACTGGAGATACAGAGAGACTTTGCTTCTTGCTCTAATGATCTCTCCATCCTTCCTCAGAATCTAGCCTCACAGCCTTATAATCAATCATTTATATATAAATAACAATTTAAGTCAACATGTGATCTCTTCTGGGTTGCTTTTTTTATCAAGGTTTCTTTCTAATTATGAGATAAAGGCTTTGCCCTCATAAAAAAATTACAGAGAATTAGAGAACAGACCAAATAAGTATTTTTGAATGATCAAGACACTCCCTGGGGCTCTGAAATCACACACTATGCAAAAGCAATTAACATTAGGAAAATATGTAAATTCCACATATTTCTATGAAAATAAGTGACCAAGTCTTAACTCTTTCTCCATCCCCTGTGACAGTTTTAAACTAGGGATACTTATATTTAAGCATTTAAAAATTTAAATTTTTATATTTAAAAATTTAAATAACTTCCATTTATAAACTCATGAATTTACCAGGATATCCCAAGTAGATCTTGGGTATATACCTAAAAACTAAAGAGAAGAGCCATAATTTAAACATAATGCACCTAATTCAGGAACAGGGATGTATCATTCAATCAATAAATATTTACTGAGCACACACTAGGTTCCAGGAACTCTTTTAGGTGCTGAAGATATAGCAATGAACAAAATAGAGAAACACTTGTCCTGAAAGATGTTATATTCAAGTGAGTAATGAGCAACTTAATTTATAATATGCTAGATGGTGACACACCTTCTATGAAAAAAACTAAAGCAGGATAAAGGGAGAGAGAGTCAGGAGAGCACTATTTTATGTAGACTGATGAGGAAGGTCTCAGTGATAAAATGATACACAGTAAACAGTATTTACATAGAAAAGCATGAATATGCATCCTGGACTGCCAACTTTGGTTATCACAATCCTAGTGTGTGATTCCTCTCTCCCTTCCTCCTTTAGTTCCTTTCACAAATATTGATTGACAAGAGATGCAATGCCACCTAAAACTTAACCCATTTTTCTATTCCAAATCCATTTCTTTAGAGCTCCCCAGGCAAGAGATGCACTTAGGATTTGTAATTTCTCTAAAACAAGGAATAGATACTTAAAATATTAAAATTGTTTTTGGAGAGAACTAATACAGACTAGGTAAAGAAACAACTTGTAAGTGGGAAACAACTATAATCAGGAAGGGAATTAAATAAATAACTATGCTTTCTTTTTTTTTTCTCTTTTGTAAATTCCTTACAGGACCATTCCCTTTAAAATGGCAAATGACATGTCCCAAGCTTCCTTGTGTGAATAAGACAGCTGACGAGAAACTGGAGATACTTCAGAATGGCTTGTACCTAATTTATGGCCAAGTGGCTCCCAATACAACCTACAAGGAACCAGCTCCTTTTGAGGTGCGGCTACGTAAAAATGAAGACATCATACAAGCGCTAACAAAGAACTCTACAATTCAAAATGTAGGAGGGACTTATGAATTGCATGCTGGAGATATACTAGAGTTGATATACAACTCTGAACATCAGGTTCTAAAAAATAATACATACTGGGGGATCTTATTGCTAGCAAATCCCCAATATAACTCCTAGAGACTCAATTTGGCCTCCTTATCATCTTTAGCACATGCAGAAATGCTGGTGAGTGTGTTGGAGGAGGCAGATTTTCAACACCCACAGTTTGTCTGAGTACACAAATCAACACATACAGAACTCCTCTGCATGTGAGTTTTCATCTCTCAAGCTTATCCGAAAGAGACTCAGAGGACAGGCCAGAGACATTTGATTACCTCTGACATTGGGTCAGCAAAGATGCTTTACTAATCCATGATAAGTGACTGTGGGTGGCTCAAGGACAGAAGCTTCTCAAAGAGTCTGTGTCTAGTTCTTGAATCCTTGGATGGGGAAAAATTGTCTTATTGCCCTGGGAGCCTTACCTGGTATGCAAAAAACGATTCAGGGTGGTGGCCTGGCCTTGTTCTCATATTCCTGGGCTGCTTCACTTTATTCTTCCCATACTCCTGTCTTTTGAGGCCCTCCTATTAAAGGTAGCCAGACTGGGAGGGTGGCCACAGATATGCCAACAACACCCCACTTTAGATGTGATGATGTTAAGAACACAGAGAATACTCAGAATTATTGGGGCAGAGGCACAGATGGCATAGAATGGAATGCACTTTACTTGGGAAATTCCCTTGATTTCATCACATTCAGGATGCAGAATGCTTTATAAAACCATTTGGTCAAAGGACTCATTCTGAACGTTGACACTGGGCTCATGAGAAGTTGTTGATGTGTGTCTAAATATTGTCAGTAGTAAAGAAAGTAATCATTAGTAATCATAAAATTAAACCCTAGAAATTGGTATCATCAGTACTGTATTATGTCATGTAATAATTTCATATTTTTAGCTGGCTGTCCACAGTTTGCAAAGTGCTTTCATATATCACAGGGCAACTCTATGAAGCGAATGGGGCAGGTGTTTTTGGCACAATTTAAACAAAGAAAATATGAAGGCATCTGGAACATAGGTGATTTGCCTCAACCCATAGAACTAATGACTGATAGGGCCAGTGGGCTTCCACAGTGTATCACACTATCTCAGCTTTAGGGTTAGTATTTCAGCTATGATGTTAAGTCCATAGAGCTTAGCAGATTTAATTATCAGGAGATGCATTCCCTTTCAGCTCAAGGTGGGTAGACTGAAGCTACAACCGACTCTCCTTCCTTAGCAAACTACTTTTTCCTTTCCCTGCTTGAAGCAGGGAGCACAAGGGTGTTGCTCAGGGCTTATTCCAACCAAATCCCCTTCCTCACTTTAAAGAGCCTGTCTTGGTCAAACGTGTTAACTTCTAAAAATAATGAATAGCACTCAATTAAATGATAGGCTGCTAAAGTTTTTAGACTCTGTTAAATTAATTAGCTGTTTGGGGGTTCTTGTTGAAAGGTATATAATATGATTACGTGATAACCCAATTTAAAATATTTATGGATATTTGTAAAAAGTTATACTATGTTAATTAAAAATATTTGTATTGTATGGGACAAAAATTGCTGGGGAACAGAGTAAGCCTGAGGCCAAGATGTTTCTTAGTCTTTTTTAAAAAACATCTGCTGAGTAGCTGTACTGGCCAAAGACCTAGATACCTTGCTTCTCTTGCGTTTGCATATCTTCTCAGGAAATTAAAGTTATATCACATATATTTATAGAAACTTGTTATTGATTATTGTTGAGTTATAAGCAGCAGTGTGCTGGAGTGCTGGAGTGAGCTAGCACTAAGCTCATGACAGCTGATTGTTAAATTTTTAAAATTTTGCAATCTGGTTATTAATTACAGTCATCCTTGAAATTGGCCATGGTGGGACTATTTATAACATGGGAACTGGCAACACTACAAATTAGGGATTTTCCTTTTGGAGAGCCTGTTCACCAGCACACCACTGTTTGTAAAACTCTCCTTCTTAATGACTCCTCTCTGCTCCTGCCTCATTCCTGGGACAATCGAGGCAGGCAAGGGAGAGAGGAAAATTGTCATATTCCCAGCAAAAGTCCCACATGGCAATGATTTCTCAGGGCAAGAGTGATCTCAGCAGCTGCAGCCAGAGTGAGGGTTACCAACAGATGACCTTTGAATTTTCCTGGTGTTATAATTTCAACCTTTGTTTTCATGTATACTCTGTTTCCTTTTTGTCTCAAATAGTTGAAACCTATAATAAATGTATATTGGTAAGTGGACTGTAGCTGACTTATCTGTGAGTTATCAGTTTAGAGTCAGTGATGTTGAGAACTTGAAGGGACATCAGAGAAATCCTTGCCCACATGAAACACTTGCTTGGCTAGCATTAGGCAAAACTGAGAGCTGGATGCAATTAGCTTTTTGTTATAAGCTGTCCCAATTTTTGATGAGTTAGTCAGACAGTTTCACATTCTGACTTCCACCCACCCCCTCAACTCCACCTCAGACGTCCTCACCAACAAAGCCGTCACCAAACCCTCTTATAATAATTGTTTTTTTTACCTTTCATTTTACCCATCAAAACTTACCTAGAGTGTGGAATATCACTGTGGGTTAAGTCTCTGCTTCTGAAGATGGCGTTTAATTGAAAAGCAATGCAGTTTTGAGCATCTGATGGGGTAAACTAACTCCTTAAATGAAGCATATATGTTCATTTTGGAGATGAAATTCCTGTCTTTTTGTGTTTGATCTCAAAGAAGCAGTTTCATTTGTGGGGGTGAGAGGATATTTTTAAATTTTTTTATGCAAGAAGGAGAAGCAAAAACCTGATCAGCTATGAGGAGTCTGAGGATTACCTTCAGGTAGAAATTATAAAGGATACCTCAGGACATACACTTTTCTTGATCTGATAGGATACATGTCTATTTTGGGGTCACTAGTGACCCTAGCAAAGTCACTCTATTGGCCATGACACTCCTGCGAGTCCCACATCTATCCACAAGAAACCTGTACACATGCTTTGCACCTACAAACTCAGAGAGTATGATTGTAGCAAGATTCTCCCATTTCTACTACCAGGAGTTGGCCTTTCTCTTCCCAACAGATTTGCTGGGTGAGGTCAAACTCTAGCTCACTGTCAACTTTTGCTTTCTGTGGTGGGAGTCAGGCAGTAGTTCTCTGTATCTCCCAATTGCAAGAAATATACTTCAAAGCTCTTTTAGGGGTTCCCTTGAAGCCCTCCTACCAAGCTTAAGGTTAGAAAGTTTCATTGCTCCCCATTCCTCCTGTAAACGGAGTGGGTGAGGACTCACAACATGGCCACAGCTTTTTCTTTATAAATGTTATCACAAACTCTCCTTCTTACCACTCTGCCCTCACTTTATGTCCTTGATCCAGCTAATGTGTCAAAGACTATTAGAAAAAGGGGGCTTACCTTCATTCCTTTTGTAAATTCTGCATATTGGTGGGGTCAACTGTCTTACTCTCACTTTGATATCTTAGTTCAGTTGTATTATGCCTGAGTTGAAATTGAATCAGGTAGAATTCCACTTTAACATCCAGTTATACTCTTAGATGTCAAGAAAGGATGAGAGAGATGTATGATAATATGCAGAAATACAAAAACCTCCAAACTCTCATCACAGGAGAAATAAAATAAGAGCTTAATACAAAGGCAGAAAGAGAGGAAAATTATCATTCAGAAAAGTTAGGCTTAAGAACATTGTTACAAATGAACATAAAACATTGCTTTTAATTTCTTGAAAATCAAGGAAAATTAGAGAAGCATGAAGGAAATAGAGTTGTTTCATCCAAAAAAAAAATTGTTTTAACACACACTGTTTTATTAGGAAAAAGAAACCTTTCCCTGGTACTGAGCTCTAAGCAGACTCTCTCCAGTTCCACAATGAATGCTCTAGATAGTAAAATGCAGATTTTCCCACTTATTTTATTTGAATGTACTGGATTCTGTTAGCAGTTAACTAGTTTAAGGAGTTCAAAGTAGGTTACTTGAGCTATCACTCTAAGACACACAGAAGATGAATCCCATTATATTGTTTGGGAAAGTAGACTGGAGGGTTTATAGGTCCTCCTTCAAAGAACTCAGGAAGTGTTTAGGAATAGGAACATGAAAATTCAATAAATAGAATCATTAGATTAAACCACCTTCCTCACTGCTTCAATTACATAATCGGAATGGGAATCTCTGATTTTCATGTCCAGGGTGATTTTTTCCAGCCAGCTTTGGTGTTATCCAGGGACCCTACAAAGGTAGCATGTTGCTCACCCTGGGCCTCAAACATGCAGAGTCCGAGTCAACTGGGGTGAACTGGTGAGTTTAAGTTTCGCAGAATGGAAGACACAGAGCCTCTTCTTACCTTCCCTCTCTGCTTATAGGTTGTATCTCTTATCCAATGAGCTAATCTCTGAGAGGAATCTGATGTCCAAGAGTCCAGAGTCTGACAGAGTGCCTGACTCATAGTCCTTTTTGTCTATTGTAAATAAATAAATAATAAATAAATCATAAATTTACTTGAGCATTGGTAAAAACTTAGCATTATTGTATGTACTCTGGATAACAGAGCCCAGTGGGGAAAGCCTTCAGTCTCCCTGTCCTTACTGTCTCCCATCCCATCATGTACTATTCTCAAGTACTCTCCTTCCCCATCAAAATCTGTTCTGAGGAACACTGTTAATGTAAGTAAGGTAAAGAAACTTATAAATTCACTTGCACTAAGGGAAAATAGCCAATAAGCTACCTTGTCTTGAATCACTAAAACAGGACAAAATCTTACTTGTTTTAAGCTTTGCTGGGCAGAAATACTAAGAAACAATTGCCTTTATAATATCCTAGGGCAAAACAATTTATTCAATTTATTCAATGATCAATGGCAGAGGTTTTCAAAGTGAAGTCTATGAACTCTACATCGGATTCACAAGGGATACTTGGAAAAAACAAGAGATTCCAAGGCTCATTCAAGTGTACTGAATAAATGTTTCTAGGAGTGAGGACTAGGGATCAAATGGATTTAACACAGTCTGGCCCATAGGTTATTCTTATGCACACTACAGTTTAGGAACTGCTCTTTTAATGATATGATACTTTATGTGGAAAACCCAAAAGACTCCACCCCAAAACTGCTAGAACTCATACAGGAATTCAGTAAAGTGGCAGGATATAAAAT